AGAGTAATGTATTTTGTATCACATCAGATAAATGTTACATGCTTATTAAATAAACAATACGTAATAAAATATTCTTAAAACATTCGCGTTTATGATTTAAGAAACTTCGGTTGGTAAATTGATATTGAATATATCAATTTCACTTAAAATGAATTCGTAATTTTCGGTCATGCGCTCGCTATAATAATTTCGCGCACATACATTCGCGGTAGAAAATTCGCTATAAAGAGTTGGCGTTCGCTAAAATTTATTCGCTCTAAAGTATTCGCGGTTTAGGTTTCGCGGAAATAAATTCGCGATAATGAGTTCGCGATCAAAGTTTCGCTATAATGTATTCGCTATAAAGTATTCGCGGTTAAAGTTTCGCGGAAATAAATTCGCTATAATGAGTTCGCGATCAAAGTTTCGCTAAAATGTATTCGCTATAAAGTATTCGTGGTTAAGGTTTCGCGGAAATAAATTCGCTATAACGAGTTCGCGATCAAAGTTTCGCTATAATGTATTCGCTATAAAGTATTCGCGGTCAAGGTTTCGCGGAAATAAATTCGCGATAATAAGTTCGCGATATTGTCTTCGCTATGAAATTCCTTCGCGATAAACGACATTCGCGATAAACGACATTCGCGATAAAAGTTTCGCGAAAAAGTGTTTCGCGATAAAAGTTTCGCTGAATTGACCTGATACGATTTATTATATGCCTTAATTTTATACTATTTACTTTTTTTTAAATTCTCTTTTTAAATCCCTTATTTTGGCCTTTTAATTATATGGTGCCAGCCGCAAAAAAAGAGAAGAAAAAGTAATTATATTATTTATTTTTTTTCATGGGGATTCGGAATATTTTTTAAATATTTTAAAAAAAAAGATCCCGAATAAAACGTGGGGATTCAAGATCTTGAATCCCCACGTTGGGATTCCGAATCCCACATGATTCCATATCCCAATACGACATATATATATATGTAACAAATTATAGTCATGTTATTATACCAATATTTTATTTGTGGAAATAAAGTTACGTAAAAAATATTTTAAAAAAAAATCAAAAAACTTTAGCAACTTTTTTTAAAAGTAACTTTAGCTACTTTTTTTAGAGTAACTTTAGCTACTTTTTTTAGAGTAACTTTAGCTACTTTTTTTAAAAAGTAACTTTAGCTATTTTTTTAAAAAGTAACTTTAGCTACCTTTTTTAAAGTAGCTAATAGCGCGCTACTCATTTAAAAACGATAGCGGTAGCGATAGCCCGCAGTAGCGTTTAAAAACACAAAATAGGATATATTATTTTTATTCTTCATTAGTTTTTATTAACAATGGTGATAAGTTTATATGAATGACATTACTGCCGATATTCATTAAAAATTAAAATACATGTATAAATAGAAGTCCACCAATTGAAATCATATGAAATGTCTTTCAAACCCCCATTAATATTGATTACAGCTATTTCAATGTTTGTACACTTTTAATAAATTTAATTATTAGTATATGTTAAATGCCATTGGTTTGACGTAGTAGATATTTATTTAAGTACAGCCAACCCTGTCTAATTAACTGTTGGGACCAAGATTTTTGCACAACTTAGACAGTTTGCTCAATTTATTAGGACTTTTTAATTTCTAAAAATAACATTTTACCACTATATTCATAGTTTAGCAAAAAGCCAGATTATGTTCAATTCTCAAATAATTTTTTTTACTTTTTATTAATTCATCAAAAATCGCGAGTAAAATTATTGCATACCTAAACTAACACCAAATGTACACATATATAAATAGTATCTAATAGCGCGTTGCTTTTTTTGATAGTTAGCGGTAGCGCGCTACTTTTTTTGACAAATAGCCATAACGGTAGCCCGGAGTATGGTTTAACAACTCTGAATTTTGCTAACCATTTTATCCACATTTAAATACAATATAAAATAAGAATAAAAATATAAAATTAATGGTTGCTGCTTCTTTCAAAGGGCTTATTATTCTTATTTTTAAATGTTATTTTTTAAATGTTATTTTTTAAATGTTATTTTTTAAATGTTATTTTTTAAATGTTATTTTTTAAATGTTATTTTTTAAATGTTATTTTTTAAATGTTATTTTTTAAATGTTATTTTTTTATGTTATTATTTTATGTTTATTTTTTTATATTAATATTGGATTGGTTCTTTTTCTGATTGGTTAATTTGTTATAATTTTTTATTTAAGATATTTTAAAATAATTTTTTCTAAAATATGTGTCATAAAGAACAAAAAACATATTTAAATTAAATTCAGTATTTTTGTTTATTTTTATATTTTTTTTAAAAAAAATAAAATATATTAAAAATATATGTTAAGGGATATTTTCTAAATCGTTAAAAATTTGGAATCTTGTTCTAAGGATTGTACAATAATGTTTAAAGAAGATTTTCAAGCAAGATCTATCTATGCACTAACATCTTCCTTTTAGCATTTAAATTTAAAAATATAAATTTAAATTTAACACTAATTGTCTGTCTTAATCTCAGAAAAATTCTATTCTAATTTATTCTCTATTTAAAAAATGATAATTCGAATCCTTGCAAAAGTCCATGGCTGCAAATAATCACTCGGTTAACCAACATAATAACTCATTTCAATCCTATTTTTTTAATATTTTTAAGTCCTAAGTCGACCCGATTAAAATTTTTTTAACCCGAAGCTGAGTTGCTTGCAAAGTTTTACTATCTAACCCCATAAAACGTCATTTTTGCTGCTTCTTTACTTTTTGTAAATAATTTTCATTCGAAATATTTGGTATAACATTATTCATCTGATCCTCGTGTCTGGAGTCTGAACTTCGGGACTGAACCCCGCGGATGTGCTTAGGGTTCGTACTCGGAGCTGGTTTAGTCAATTTTTAGACCTAAATCCCGAGTCTGACAACCATTTAACAACACATATAGTGTTTATAATGTAGGGGATAGGGGAGGGGGGTAGGAGCATTTTCTACAAATTTTTTAAAGGTGGAAGGCTATGGGTAAGTTATTTTTTTAGGGGGATGGTGGGAATTTTAGATGAAAGGCAGTTTTTTGAAATATTGCATTATGATTTATACAATCATTAATAAAATAAAATTTTTGGGGGTTATCAATTTGAAACGCAGTTCTATTCATTAAATCAAAATATTAGATTAAATAACGCAAATTGAAATATATTATTAAAATTTAACAATCATTTATAAAATGAATAAATAATATCAAAACGATTTAATAATCAAAATTTTCGAAAATATCTAAATTCAAGAAGATATTCATAAATAACATCTCGATCCCCATGTCTTTTATAGTTTGCTCTTAGATCCTACCACAGCACAGCCTTATATATATATATTCTAATAATAATCTGAACTAAGAATTATATAAATAATTTAAAAATTCAAAAACTCGGAAGTGATTATTTTTATTTAAGATATATCTTACAACCTTTTTTTAAAAAAAAACTACTTCCCATAAAAAATTTATATTTATTTAAAATTAATACAATAACCAATCAGAAATAGAACGAACCAATCCAATATTAATGTAAAATAATTTTAAAAAGAAAAGAAAAGAATAATAATAATAATAACCCGAAAGAAACAGCAGCAACCAAATTAATTTATGAATTAAAATAAGGTATCTATTTTTGTTTGTTTATTTGGCCCAATATGTTTTATTTTAAGGGCGTTTGATAATGTCTTCTTTTTATGAATATTTTTAACAGTTTCATTAGAAATATTAAATCTTTTACCACATTCTCTTTGAGTATAAGTTAGAAATTTAATAATCTCAATTTATTAAAAATATAAGCGAATTAATGCAATAAATTCCTACTTTATAGAGGTCTTACGCAAATGAACAAATAATTAAAAATCTGCCCATTTTTCAAAGCAGTTGCCCAATTTATCAACACATTTTCCAATAGTATTTAATAGGAATTTGATTGGGATTCAAAATTTTGTTCAAATTATGGAAGATTATTCAGAATCCATGACAAGGTTGGCTATATTATGAGCCTTCAACTTATCTAATCTGTATATTGTATTGAATAGCATCATTAATTTTGATGTATCGAGCTTTATTTTCTTTTCCCTCGATGGTTTTCTTGTATTCCCTAAATTTTTTATCCTATTCAAAAAAATGTCTCTCTTAAAAATTCCAAAGTCTTAGAACTACATTGTATGCTGACTGATATGAAAGAAATCGAATATAATTGATGGGCTATGCTTTTGTATATTTAGACAAATTTGGGAAAAATATAAAAATATAGGAAATTCAATCCTTAATTTTGTAAGAGAAAAAAAAATTAAGTTTGAGTTCCATTATTGGAAAAAGAGATTGTTAACTGATAAATAGGAGGGCCTAGCTAACATACATTCATGCAATTTGATAATTATGTTAGAGAAAATTATTCAAACGAGCCATGCTAGGGTCCAACACAATGGAAGCACCAATCTAGCTAGTTTTTTGAAAAATAAAGATTTTGAGAGTCTTGAGTTAATTTTTATCAAATTGTAGTATATCTGATCTCACTTTTCTGGAAAATGACTTTACTAAATTTTTTATTTTTTCTAAGAATATTAAATTCCATATATTCTTTAAAAATAGAAATTTTATTTTATAAACGAGTGACTCTTTTTAGAGCTATAAAGAATGTAAAACAACGTTTCCTTAAGACACCCAATCTCCTTAATTGTTTAAGTCTTCGAAAATTAGAGGTTCATTGGTTAGCTTCAAAAGTACGTGACATTACGTGGTCAGATCACCTAGGTACATATTTATGTGTGTGATAAATGGGGACTATTGTATTTTTTAGGCCCTTACTGTATTAATTCTTAAAAATTGAGAAAACTTGTCTGTTTTTATATTACCAATAAAATTAAAGATTTATAACCCTATCTCTTAATTTAATAAATTGTATTATTTGTAAATGCTTACCTCATATGAATGGCAAGGCTATTTGTATAATGAATGATTTGTGCATTGTGCTTAGATAAAAATGAAGTGATTATAATAAAATTTCATATTTGAGCCCACTCATTATTAATAACAAATATGTAATAGAGTATGAGCATAGAATTATAAATGCCATACGAGGTAAATAAGAAGTCCTGGCTTGCATTGTGGCTCCCGTGGCTTCTATTATTCCTTCAAATATGAATACCATTTCAAAATTTATGTTACTCAACTCTAAGGCTCCCATGTCGTAAAAGGGTGATTGATTATCAATAATGTGACTAACTATTACTGGCCATACCAGAAAAACATTGTCATCTGGAGGATTTGTTCCAACTTGAATTACATAGGGCTTGAGGTGAATGATTTCACCTTCCTGAGTTATTTTCTTTCTGAACATGTAAGACTTGGTGTGTGCTCCTATCATGTGGGACGTCCTCATGTCACCGATTCGTATGCATAAACATAGTTGACCATCACGGGTACATATGACGGCTTTTTTGCTAAACATGAGAGTAGCAGCTCTTTTATTAGGTCGACAAAGCTTGGCAAACATCATGCCCGTTATATATCCCTGTATGACGGCCCCTGTTATGCATTGAATAATAAAAACTATTATAGCTTCGGGACATTCTTCCGTTGGGTATCTGTATCCATACCCTATGGTATGTTGGGTCTCTACCGTAAATAAGAAAACGCCGGCAAATGATTCTATGTTTTTGATACAGGGTTTCCAATTCGGGTTAGATATGTTATCGAAATCGTCGTGGGAAAAAAGGATAAGCCACCAAATAAAGGAGAAGCATAGCCAACTTCCAAGGAAACCGGCTGTAAAAATGGCCACGGACCAAAGCCATTTGCTGTCTAACAAAGTAGTATAAATATCTGTCAAAAAGTGTTTATTCACTTTGGGTATGTGTGAATAGATAACGTTGCAAGTTCCGGATTTGTTAACGAGCCTTTTGCGAATTTTCTTGGGAAGCAACTCTTCCATTTCGGCATAAAAATCATTAGAAGATTTTTTTAAGCTTTGAGAATGTAGGGTGTCCGGTCTTTGAAATATTTTCATCCTATTTCTTTGTTTGACTGGTGTCATGGGTAACATGTTTTCTAAGACTGTAGGTGTTGATTTGCTACCTGGTGAGGCATAATCGCGGCGATATATACCTCTCAAGCTTTTATTTCTCTCCGAGTGAAAAAACAATCTCTTTCGTTTAGATTTAGTTTTAGGAACAGATTTAGCTAAGCTAATTTCTTGATTTGGAGATTGCATTTCAAGATCTTCACTGGATGTTTGCTTGTTATTTTCAAATGTTTGATAAAAAGAGTTATTTTTAAAAAAAATTAAAAGAAAAAATTGAATGGGTGTATTTTTTTATTATTGATAAATATATTTTTTATTAACCCTTTTAAATTATAATAAACTTTTTTAGATAATATTAAACTTTTTAAATAATATTAATATAGAAATGGATTTACCCTCCCCAAAAGCATCATGATTGGGAGGAATTAATTATAGATAAAACATTGTTTTATCTTTACATCATGGAGAATATTATTTTTATAAAGTATTTAAATATATTATCGTTTAAACTCCGGCTACGCCCACTCATATTTATTTTAAGCTTAATTACCTTAATTTAAAAAATAATATTGAACACCCAATTTTTTTTTAAAAAAAAATTTTCATTATTATAAAATAGCATTAGCAATATAAAATTATAAAATTTTTATATTCAATAAAATATTAAAATATGGCATATAATTTAATAAAGTAACTCTAATCAAAAATATATTTGTACCATAAGATTCTTATACACATTCTGAAATCTTTTTTTAAGGTTCACTGCTATCATTTGAGTAAACCCCAAATGTTTGAGGTATTGCAATGAGATCGATCTTGCTATTTGCTATAAAGGATAATTTATGCCCTAATAATATCCCGAGTGGATTTGTAATACATTAAGCATATCTTGATATTGACCACTATTAATTATATTATTTGAAAAATAGAATGAACCTTTGGCCTTAGGAAATCACATACGTACCATTATACTATGTGAAGTGTTCCGTATCTATTCGACAGGGAATTTGTTAGAGGGGGAGGGGCAAACCTCCAAGAAAAACTAATTATCTCCCTCACCCCTCCCTGCAAAAAAGGGATTTGGTCTTACCCTTCATCTAACAATGTCCAAATCATTTTTGGGGAATAACAAATAAACTTCGTAATCTAAAAATCAAGCCATGTCAAATTAAACTGGGTTGAAAAGTTATCTATCAATGATTTTAAGATATTAAAATAGAAAAATATTTTATTAAAATTCTTTTTACCATATTTTATCCCTCAAATTAAAAATAATATTTAGGTGGAAATATAAACAATTTGTAGAATACGGGCAAAATAAAATTTTAAATCATTCACTCATCAAATAACATTTTTGATTTTATACAAGCTTGGGATAATTTTTTGATTATGCTGTTGTTATGTTAGTAACAAACAGTTGATTATCGTGGTTTATTAGTTTTTTCTTACCTATATATTTTAAAATTACCCCAACCATAGATGTAACCAGGGTTTGGGTAAAGAAGTGAGGTGGGGCATTAATAGGTAGGATTTGCCAAATTTTATTGACGTCATTAGATCTACTTATTATAGGTCTTTGGCTATATTATGTTTTTATAAAATAATTTTAGATATTCACCTTTTTAATTGTGATATAGCTATTTTCTATAAATTTTGAAGTACAGTCGTTTTTTAAAATCAACTTTTACTAATATTTATTTCCAATTCTTCTTTTCAGTGATATATTGTATTTTGAGGGAGAGGGGGTGGAGGGTATATAGGGGGAAATTTTTATTAGCTTAATTACAAGAACATGCAAATTTCCGAAGGGGGAATTTCCTCTTACCTCATTTTTGGCTACGCCTATGATCCCAACTCCACCAAATCGATATCAAATTTTATAAAAATTATATTGATTAACTCTCCTATACTTAGAATGTATATTTAATCCAATAAAAATGTATTTAAAATTATTAGTAATATATCTTCAACTATAGAACAAATAAAATTAATCGAGAGTATTCAAATCTCTATTCATCTAGAAATAATTTTTTTGTGTTGCAAATGCCTTTATATATTTTATATGGTCAAGAACCGGTTACATTAAAAGAACTGACCAGTTTCAAATATGGAAGATCCGGACATATCTAAATAATATACTGAGGGTTTTTTCAAATTGTTTTTGTTGATTAATACAATGGCTGGATGAGTATAATGAGCGAAGGCAGCGTTTTTTTTAAAAATTTATTGAGAGTAGGTTTAGCAAGGAAGTATTCATCAACCACCATGCAGAGGCTGAATATAGAAACTTCATGGTTATTTATAAGCATTTAGATGGAAGGTTTCTGCTTATGTCATTATGATCATATTTCGTATTGACCCAAATTTTATTTTTTCCTGATGTGTTCTCCCATCGCTCTTGTCTAATTTAATTAAGGCCCAATTTATTCTATTGAAAATTGCTAAAAACGGTTTCTTCTCAGGTTGTAAGAAATAGTATGATGCAAACAATATTTAAATAATTATTTTATTATATAGAAAGAATATGCTGTAATCTTCGTTGATTAAGTAACTAGTTTCTCAATCACAGAAATCCCATCAAATAATATTTTAGAAGAAGAGACACGTAGATTTTTTAGAATTATTTCGTAAAATCTATCCTCTTTTAAATTAGTTATTTTTAGACGTCCAATCTTGTAATTGGCCTAAAAAACCTTTTTTATATTTCTGTTGCATATCTCATTTTAGTGATCATAACATAGTGGGCGGGTATTATACTTAAGGTGACATTTTTTTAAACACCTTTCTATTTTCCTTATGATTTAAAAATTAGTTACTTTCAAAATTAACAATAATAATGTATTTTTTATATTAATTTTTTTTTGAATAATTAATGTAACATGAAAACCAAGGGTAGGGTAAGCGGATATCAAGTAAATTCTATTTTCTTTATATTTATTTCAAAGACCTGCAGGCCCTACCTTAAACCCGGGTATACGGGTCGAGCTGTATTTAATTTTTTTCAAACACCCGTACCGAGCCTAAAAATATTTTTAAAAAAATACATGGCCGGGTGGTATATTTAAATCGTTATTACTATCTATTAAAATTAAAAACAAATATATTTAAAAAAAATTTAGGCCAGGCTTGAAAATATAAAACATGGGCCAGGCCGGGCCGAAAAATAGTTTTAAAAAAGATTCGGACCGTACCGTGTAAATGGTATAGGTTTCTGATTTATTTGAAATTTATAAGCATTTTAAGGAATACTTGATTTTCAATAAATAAAATTAAAGCACAGTAAGCTTGTGTCAAGGGTTATTTTTTAAGCAAAAATTATTAATGATTTATTTTTTATATTGAGCAAACTATACTAATTTTTATGCTGATTAGAGACTTGGAAATATAAAAAATATATATATTTTTTAATTTCCCTTTATAATTAAGTGTTTTGATTCCATCAAGTTGTCACAATTTTTTGAACTCGTTCTAGAAGAGGTGGAGAGGGGTGGTGAAGTATGATAAAAAGTTGATTTCTTTTAGTGATGATATTATTATTATTATTAATTTTATTGTAATCAGGGAACCGGAATAAGGATATTTTTGCGTTCTCGTTAAAAAAAAATTTTCCGTTGAAGCTTTCGGAACCTTCCTAGAAAAATATCTAAATATATTTTTTAAATCAACACATTTTAATTAATCTTTATTTAATGAATTAATTATTACATCAAAGCAATAATATATTTTCTAAAAGATTATCATTTATATTGGTTCTTTGTGGTGTCAATATAAATAAACAAGGAATTTATTTTTAAGAATGTTCCGGTTCCGTTCATAAATTTACTCAAAGTTCCGTTCCGTGTCCCTGTTTACAATTGCTCTTAGTGCTTCTAGATTCTTAATCGTCATGAATTTTAGTAATTTATCGTATTTTGTAATAACTATTTGTTCCTTTCAGTTTATTTAGTAGATATAGAAGTAAAATAGTTATATCATTATATTTTGGATCGAGTTATATTTTCATATGAATCTAAAATTACGATGCAGTCTTAAGCAAGAAATTTTAAAACTTTTGAAAGTGTTATAATTCTTAAATCCGTTTGTTAAACAGAATAAATCAAGGCTGGCATAATGCCAGATAAATTTATAGAAGTACTGAAAATCTGAGTGTCTTAATTTGTAATAACTGATTCATACTTGCTAATTCATCAATCAGTTTTGCTTATCTAAAAAGTAGAAAGATTCAATATTATTTTGGATCGGGGGAAAAAAATTTTAAGTTGTTTTTAGATGAAATTTATTTATAAATTACAATTTAAAATAAGATAAGATAAGACTAAGCCTAAAGCGTGACATTAGTTTTTATTTGGCTTATAATTAGCTTCACTTTTACCTTAAACTATCTACCAAATGGGTTGAAGCCCTAAATATTTACTAATTATTGATTAAATTTCAGTTAATGCTTCCAGAAGTTTGACTTTCATGTTTAAAACGTGATATCTTAGTATTTATATGATTGTATTCTTTTTTTAAAAAATTAGATATTTTAACTTAAAAAAAACAATGATTAAACCCTGCTTTGAAAAGATAAACGAACATTTACCAGAAACATGTAATGCTATTTATATTTAAAGACAAGATTGTGTGGGGCAAAGAGGCATTGTCAATGCCATAATAAATATATACTATTTATTACATATTAATAAATTCATCACATTCTTGATTTATTATAAATATCCAAAAAAAAGGATTTTTTTTACTAATAAGCGGAGACGCAGAAGATGTAAAATATAATATATTTTATTAATTAAAAAATAAATAAAATAATTATTTTGATAATTTAGGTATTTTGACTAAAAGATAATAATGACTCGAAATTATGACATTTATAAATGGTTGGTTAAAGAATTCGGCTTACAATGAATTTATAATAGTATTATAATAATATTGCTAATTCTTCTTTTTTTATAGAAAAGAGTAAATATAATTTATAATCTATGTACGTAAGATTCTCCTTAATTTGACTATTTAAAAAAAACAGAGGTAGGAAGTGTTATTGGGAAAAGGCTAGATTTATAGTCGGATCCGATCACAAGAAACAGCTGATCGATTTTTAAAATCTGTTCATCAATTTATTAATATGAATTTTATCTAATTCTATTCAATAAATAATCTAAGAATTATCGATTTTGATTAAGAAAAATTGATCCCACTATAAGATTATTTAAAATTCGCTCACCTGTTAAATCGTGTCGGATCGAATCTCACTAGCCTTAAAGGGTGTGGATGGAACGGGATTTAGGTTGCTAATAAAAATAAATTATAATATAAATGATAGATGACGAAGTTTTTTATAAACGCGTTATATAAACAATTAGAAAAAAAGGTTGACCTTTGAATATTAATAGTAAATGTTTGACCTTTATTATTACTATACATTAAAAAAAAATATTTAAATCCTTCAACAATGCAATAAATTGGTTGAGCAAAATAAATGGCTCATAATTAATTTATTTTTAAAAAAATATTATTAATATATCAATATAAAATTTGATTTATTTATTAATAATTGAGATTATGTGAATTTTTTTTTGTTTGGACCCGAAGTCATCTATGGGTGGGTGGGGGGGGGGGTGGGGGGGGACTAAAATCTGAATTACATATTTAAGTCTCCAAATATTTTTCTCGCTTTTTTCTCCCTCTAAAATCCTTTGATTTGATGCAAGGTTTGTTTTACGTCGTTTAAGAGAGTATTCAATTTATCGTAAGCTTCGAGCGTGACCATAAGGGAGACCTTACCGTTGCAATTAAAACATTCGCTGTTATTGCTGGCGGAGTCAAATTTTTTTGAAAAGTGCTCGCCGTTTAACAAATTGAATTCGTTTTTGACGTGTAAAAGGTGACAGTTACAAGTCGAGGTAACCGGACAAGATATACGCCGTTGGGACAAAAGTTTTTCCAGCTTGCGTTTTTGTTGGAATTTGTCTCGGAGCTCTTTGAGCATCCTCGCGCTGCACCGGGGCATATTAACCGGAATAGTGTTATGGAACCGGGAATAGTCCACCATGTAGTCCCCATCTTCTCGTATGAACGTTATAAGCTTTTGGAACCTGTAACCCCAAAGTATTTCGCCTAGAAAAGAGAAAGAAATGAGAATGGGTTATAATGACGAAAAAAAAATCTATATTGGATAGTAAGTGGTATGAAAGTGAACCATTAAAATGTTGACAATGACAAACATTTATCATGCTGATGAGAGATCTTATGAGCTCTGATTTAGTAAACCTATGTAAGCATACATTTTTTTAAAAAGCCGTTATAAATTTAGGTTCATTTAGCCTATGTATTTGCTAGCAATTAAAAATGCTCAGATTCTTGCATTTTATTTTCACAAAATTTGTAAACAATATAAACAGACGCGAGTGTCTTATCAAATATTAGTGCTTTGTTTTAATGCGCTTTAATAAAAAACATTTTTTTTGAAATTGCCTGCAAAGACGTAGCCTTAGAATCATAAAAATTACTCATTATTGGCATTTTAAAAAAGTTAAATTTTTGATGTAGGAATTGAAATTTTTAAAGAATAATAAACAATATCAATCTAGGAAGTACTTTTTCCTAAAAGTTATTAATTAACGCGTTCATTCATGTGTTAACATGCAATTATTTTAAAAAAATATGTCTAAAATTATTAATTTTTATATTTAAACTTAAAATATGTTGTAATAATGTAATAAAATTATTAGAAAGGGTTAGTATAAATAAATCTCTCTATACTACTTTTTTAAAAATACGAATCTTTTTATGTGACCTTTCTTTTCGCTATAGAAAACATAATAAATATTGTAGCAACGAAACATATAAAACGGAAAATTATTTATATAAAACATATAATTGCAAATGTTCTGACAATACAGTACACATGCAAGATGACATAATAAATATATAAATGATAGACGGTTGGCTTTTATAGATATTTTGGTAAGTGAGCAGCTATTAAGATCCATATTTCACTATCAAAAATTTCTTCTTTCCCTGGTGGGACCATATTATTTCTGAAGCATTTTCGACGAGGTTAGGTTTATAGTCAGAGATCTGAGTTAGGGTTAATATATATTAAAAAATAATTGCCCAATAGCTATCCACTTCCACATATCAATATTACATTATAACTTAAATAATATTATTAATTATTAGAATACCTATTATGGCTTAGATATATTTTCCCTAAATCTTAGAAAACAATCATGATGACAGTAATTCCTCATCCAGTCGAAATTATGTTTAAACGTCTATCCTATTACATTAATTTACAATAGTATTTACATATATTTCCTACAAACATGCAACATTTAAGTTTACTTATTGTGTTCATCCTTCGATTACACAGGTAGAGCCCTTGGACAGAATAACCTATCAATTGTTATTTTCATAATTTTTTTTAGAAGATAATCCTGATAAAGATTTTTGATTTTCATAATAAAAATAAATAAAATTATTATATTTAATAATACAGTTTGACTAAACGGTGAATACTTTAAGATGCTGAAAGTGCAAATGTCGTAGAAATTTAGCAAAATCTAGGGTTTTAGAAAATTTATTAAAACTTAGATCATTGCAAGAATTGTATTCCAGCATGTATAGAGTATAATAGAGATGTACCGATTCTTTAATCAGATCGGATCGGGCCGATTTTCAACTTTCTTAAATATCGGTAATCGGCCGATATTGTAAAATTTTCCGATCAGATAAAATGACGTCTTAATTTAAAAAAAGTTTATTACTTATTATGTAAATAGATAAATGTTATATAAATTGATTTATTAATATATACTACTTTCATGAATATAAGTTATAATTGATCATGTTAATATATTTTAATGACTTATGTTATGGTATAGTTAAATTACAAATGTTATACTTTTAAAAAGTATGAGATGATCTGTGCATTAAAAATAACGATTAGTATATTTACAGTATCAAAATCATGTCGGATAGGTAATCGACCGATATCAATTAAATATCGGCAATATTGGTTAGGATCGGCCTCTAAAAAGTGGTATCGGTACACATCTAGAGTATACCTACTCTATAAATTACAGGTAATTTTGCCGCGATTCATTTTAAAGAACTCTTAATTTATATTAATTTTTTATAACATAATTTTTTATATACAAATAATGGCGGAATCTTCTAAAATTTATTAGATAGGTAGGTACTCTATATATATGATGGAATATATTCCGGCGAATTCAGATCTTAAAAAAAATTTTTTTTAAAAACACACGAGCTATAAAAAATTTAAAACATTTTAGGTTTGCTTACTCCAAGTCAGTGAAGCGTAGGCATGAACTTGATGAGTCCCTTACCCTACATTCCCAGTTAGCGCGAATTCGCGGGGAAGTATATAAAAATACCGCATATTTTGTATACCTCGCAACGAATTCGTGCTAACTGTGAATGCAGGATAACACCTCATTAACAGTAGGCGCAAATTTGCGGCGGTGAATACAAAAATACAGCGTATTTTGTATAATTAGCCGCAACTTCGCGCAAATTGGGGGTTACTCTTAAAGTTAGATTTTTTAAATACGTTCAAGTCATTAGACAATGTAAACACTAAATATTAATTACATTTTATTTAATTAAATAATCAGTTTATTTTACTTAGGCATTCGTAATTTAGTCAATTGTTGGAATTCTATGGAAATAAAAAAATTATGATGAACGGAACTTGGGGAAGATTATGGAACGATGATTCTGGAAGGTTCCAGTAAAATAAAGACGAATATTTTAATTTAATTTATTTCATAATTATAAATAAGATAAATTTTTTTACAAAATAGTATTATTATATTTGTTTTTTTATGAATTCCATTTGGCTTTACCAAAATAATTAACCATTTTATTGTTTGGAATTCAAATTTTATAATAAACTGTTTAAAAAAAAAATTAATATATAAATAATTATAAATTTCAAAGTTAGTGATAGGTGTTTTCCTACACTCTAACATCATCCCACACAAATGAATGATGATCTTTTAGGGAATTTAGAGAATATTAATGAAATGCATAAAGATTAATGAGTAAAATGTAAATACCCTTCTTTAATTGAATTATAAAAATGTTTTTAAAGAAAATATTCATATTTTAAAAGCAATCGATATTTTTTATTTATGATAAGCTTCATGATTCTAAAGATTAAAAATAATCTTTAAGCGATTCATACATTAAATTATAATAAAATATAGGAGGAAAACTCTAGTCAATCATGCAGTAAAACTATCCAAAAAAAATTTATAGGTGAAAAGCCACTCTCCCCCGCTCCCCTAAGTAGATTATGTTTATTACTATGGCAATGTACAATTTATAAATTGTCATATTTCTGATATATGCATATTTCTAGTTTTTTTCCCCAATCAAAAAATTTAGGACAAATTAAAAATAAAAACACTACGTAAACGCTATATCCTAATATTAAACCAATTATTAAGATTTCTCAAAAAAATATATTTACAGTCATCACCCTCGGGTGCCCCCTTTAAATGAAGATTCGGGTATGAACTTGATTATATATAATAAATAAAAATATAATAAAATATATATTTTTTTATGGTATAATGTAATGACATAAAATAAATCAAAATTTGCAATTTACGATTTCTTTTCTTGGCTTTTATTTTTTTTTCTTTAAGAAAAACTCTTCTTTTTTTTAGCCTAAGGAATGGTATCATTTATTGAAAGAACGAAAATTTCGATAATTTATTTTATTTTTTGAAAATGATATTTTTCACTTATAATATTATGAAAGTTTCAAATATTATTTCTTTCGTTCTTTATAAATTTTTTTTTAAAAAAAATCATTTATACAAACTTTACAAAATTTATTCATTTAAGTGATGAAAAATATTAATATAAATAGTGTAAATTTGATTATCCGTCAAACGAAATTCAAATAAAAATATACAATGTGATGTAATAACTTTCAATTTGAAAAGAAAAAATACTACAAATATTTTCCTTAGGCATAAAATGTTACAAAAAACAATTTTTTTAAAAAAAATGCAAAAAAAATCGATATAATATAGGTTTAATTAAATTAAAATCTATATGCCAAATGGGAGTTAAAAAAATGTATGAAAAAAGAACCACTCCTCAAAAACGTCGCAAATTAAAACACATTTATAACTAAGTCAGGTAAATCTAGCGTTGTTCAATGGCTCGATTAGAACCGATTAACTCAATATTTTATCAAGAAAAATATTATGCAAAATTTTGCTAATAGATATAATAGCACACAGGTTTTGAAATCTATTAGCGAAACTTCAAGGCTTAGGGAATATTTTTCTATCTAAAATATTGAGTTCCCATTTTTAAAAATCGACTCAAATCGAGCTGTTTAACAACACTAGGTAAGTCAAAGATAGTGGTTGTTAAAAACTTTTTAAATCAAGATTTTAGCTTAAAAATAGGATTAAACCATTAAGATTTAGTCAAAAGAGAAATTTCTGGCATCTTTTGGCGGAATCGAGGCTTAAATTACTATTTTTTTGAATTATGGACAAAAAGACCCGGACAAAAGTAAATCGGACAAAAATACCCAAGGACAAAAAATTTAAATTCTTTTCAAAATTGGGACATTCTTGTCTGGGGTACTTTTATCTGCGTCTTTTGGTGGTTAATGATAGGTATTGCCTTAAGGTAGTACCTTATTTTGTTTATTTTTCCTTTGGATAGGTACTACCAAATTATTTATAATATATATTTAAAAAATCGTGAATTTTGGAAAGCGTCTGTGGCTTAGTCGGCAAGAGTGTCGCTTACCATTCCGATGGTTTTGGGTTCGAATCCCAGCAAAGATCATGTTTTTTTTATATAGGAGGCCGGACTCAACACGTGATTAAAACAATAGGGCAAAGCTTACGTTTAATTATAGGTGATCCAAAAGAAGGCTTTTACCTTCGACAAAGAATATAAATCGAAATTTGTCGATCCAACTGCATTTCCACATGGATCATTAAGCCCCGCCGACCATACCTAAATATATTATTTTAAATTATTTTTTACTTCTCTTCTTTTAATTATGTATTTTTATATAGAGATATAGTATGCTAATTATAATTTTAATATTCTTTTAAATAGTATTTTCATCATTGTTTTGTTTTTATAACTGTGCAGTATGCATTGAAGATTTTTTTTAAAAAATAAATAAATAAGGGTTTTATTACATTTAAATAAATTTGGGTCGGTATTTAGCAAATTAGGTTGGTATTTAGGAAATTGCTATACGGTGACTTGGTAGTATCTATTATTAACCTCTTTTTATTTAGGGCATTTCCCGGTGATTCATTTTTTTTGGTTGAGGTTTCTAATAATACTAATTCTGACTCAATGCGAGAAGTCGAGGTCGACTCTTTAGGGCGAGATTTGGTGCATATTTAAAGAATCGTTCCACCCTCTATCTCTAAAGTTTAAAAAAAATAAAATGTTTATCTTGCCAAAATAATGTTTTTTTTAAATATTTTACCAGGTATATTGTATATTTTTAATTATATATATCAAAAATTATATTTAAAAAATAAATATATTTAAAAGAAAAAAAAATACTAATTAAATGAAAACAGTCAATAAAATGTGTATAAATAAATATAAAAGCACATTCCAAAAATAGAGTTGTATAAATATTTAAATTGGAATTAATCATTCATTCGTATCCTTATCATAATATAATAATTTGAAATTGAATAAACATGACAATCTAATAGTATATAGGTATATATTACAAACCCGAACCAACTTAAATTAGAAATGATGTTTAAACGGACTGGGCACGCCTAAGGCTATATTTTATAGAAAACGCAGTAAAATTAAAGCGAAGCGAAATCACAGCTGATTGGTCTAACATAAGTTTTTCAAGCGATTTACTCATTTCGTTCCTAGTATTTATAAATTATACCGATTACTGACTTGATTGTTTAAATTGTGAAGCGAAAAATTTCGCATCGCTTGAGTGAATTGCACTTACTATAAATGAGTGTAAAGGATCGGTGTATTGTATTCTACTAGTTTCTCTCATTTCCCAACAAAATGAGGTAAAAACTTTCATAGGGGAAAGTAATCATCCATGTTTTTTTTGTGGACAGGTCGCATTTTATGCACAACACAACAAGAGACTCGTTTGTTTTATAAACGTCGAAGGAAAAATATTTTTTAAAGATATGAAAAAAAAACACGTATTCGAATTTTGGAAAGATTAATTTTTAAAGTTCATTTTAGTTATTTTCATGTCACAAAAAGTCAGGTAAAAAAAAGAAAAGATATGATTATTAATCAATAAAAAAACTAATAACTTTAGATTCGATTATGTTTTAATTTACTTAAAAAAGCTTACTTAAAATAGATGTATATTTTTTAAATAGTCAGTTAAAAAAAGAGTTAAAAAAGAAAGGAAGCAGAAGACAAAAATGGGCATAAATTGAGCGTTAAACGCTGCGTTAACGCAAATAATGCATTTCAAATGGAATCATGAAAATTAGTAAAATTATCGTTTGGAGTTAGCAATTATTTTAATTGTTTTTTTTCCCAATACTTTTCAATTCTTCATTTTCTTATATCTTATAAAAGTAAAAAAAATAACTTATATCTTAAAATTGAATATTTTGAAATTAAAGAAATATAAATGCAGACGATAATAATCTTCAAAGACAAAGCCTTTTTTTTAGAACTTAACTAAAATTTTGAATCGACGATATTAATAAAAATGCAACCTCAATTTAAATAAGGAATGTGTTGCACTTTTTTTTATTAAAAAATTATGGCAAAATGCAAACGCTCAATTTGTGCACACTATAGCGAAAGAATTATAAACGGATTCATAAAATAATATATAACATTAAAAATTGTTTAAAAAAAATAATCAAATTAATCAAGGTTTAGTTAATAGCTAGCAGAGGTCTGCAAATGGCGAAATTTGCCCGTGTGGGAATTTAGTTAATGTCTGGCCCAGCCGATTTTTAATTTTTCATAAAGTTGTCTGGCCCGAATATTCATTTTTCTTTAATACAAGGGCTAAACCAAAATATATGATGTTGAATACCAAAATAAACAACTATTTATAATCTTGGGGAATGGTTAAATTAAATACACTATACTTTGTGGATTATCACTTCCATAAAATATCAGAATTCTTAAAGTAAATTTAGATAAAAATTTTGCCCGGACTGATCCAAAATATTTTAGTGCAGATCTCTGATATAGTACGCAATGTTTACAAAATTTATGCCATAGGTTATGTTCAATTATCGGTTGAAGATATTTTTTTTTTCTAATTTTAATTTCATAAAAAAAATAGTTATAATTATACCAAATAAAATCAATGTGAATGAAAAAAAAACCAATAATTAAGATTTCATGCAAAATTTAATTCCGTACAGTTTTTTTTATCCTAACGATGGTGGAATAAGGAATTTTAGTGTAGACTTTAAAAAGTTGGGTTAAAAAATAACTAAGTTAATAAGGTATTTTAACTACTACAATGTTAAGATTAGGATGTAGAAATTAAATTGTATATAACTTACTGGGTAAATATGAGGTTCTAGCCTGCATACTCATACCGGTAGACTCAATCATGCCCTCTAAAATTACCACTATTTCGTATTTTTCCTTTCTAACATCTTCGGCCGAGAGATCATAGAACGGAGAGGAAGGTGAATCCATCCTATGGACTTTAAAAATAAATTTAATTTATTTTATAAAAAAAAATGAATACGCTATTTTGATGATAATATTTTTTGTTATGAATCTTTAATAAGATTATTTGACAGGAAGGGCTAGTCCATGGGGTCAAGATAAAGAGGTAATAGTATTATAAGGTTTCATTGTATTTAAAAATTATTATAAATAAAAATAAATCATAATGGATAATTTATGAGGAATAAATAGCTTTATGCGTCTTAGAACTAACCTAAAATGCATGGCCAAGCCAAGAATATTTTATCGTTTATGGCTGTGTTCGAGTTATGAGTAGAAGTAAAATTATGAGAGAGATCTGGAATACCGGTATTGTTGAAAGTGCTAGAGCTTTTGTAAACAATGTCGGGTACGGGTCCGACACCAGAATCGAACCCCAACTCCAGATTGTAAGGGTTTAATGGGAGGGTTTCGCCTTCCAGGGTGACCTATATATAATTATTATTCAAATTTAATGCCAAAATTTGCTAATGAGATAGCCTAAAAAATTTTAATGGGAATACTTTTTTCCTGAACAGGTAAGCTCTGGTGTGAGCGTCCACTATATGAGACCTTCGCATGTCGCCTATCCTAACCAGAAGGCATAGAGCACCATCTCGAGTACAAATCACGGCATTACGACTGAACATCAAGGTAACAGCCCTCTTCTTAGGTCTCGATAACTTAGAAAAAATGAGACCCGTCACAAACCCTTGTATCATAGCACCAGTTATCGCCTGAACTATGAGAACCAAAATAGCTTCCGGACATTCTTCCGTTATGTAACGATGACTATAACATTTGAAACATTTTTTTATTTTGAAAAAATATATATTAAGGTAGCTAGGTCAAATTGTTAAGGCCTGGTTCTTTAGAATTCTGACCATTTTAAGGCAAGTCCAAAATTTTTTTAAATTTAGTAATTTAGATTGTTTCAAAGGCGAATTGCAAACGTGAGCAGTAAATGACTGTTGAATAATTCATCATAATTGATATTCATTTATAAAATTGGCCGACTGGGGTTTATTAGTTTCTTTATCAAGTCTGACCCGCACTTTTTGAAAGATATCATTTTACGGCCTGTTTCCGGCCGGCAGGTCTCTGATTATAAATGACGCATTCTATTAGATCTCATAAATATAGTAACGGATTTAAGCCATAAAAATCTTGATTTAGATGAAGAATTTTAATAAATTCCCTTTTAGATTTTGATGAAATTTTATATGAGCATAAAAAAAACTACTATTCATGTAACTTAACACTTTAGATATCAAGGGGAGAAGTTACAGTGGACAAAAATTCTCGATTTTACGTTTTTCGGTATCGGTGGTCATTCAAAAAATGTGATTTGTATTTAAAAATTAAACAAGCATATTATAAGAAAAAATAGATATTCGTATCACAATCCAAAAATATAAATATATAATTTAGCATAATAACACTACCTTTATCCTTACTCAAAAAACATAAACTTAACCTTTGTCCGTTGAGTGAATATACGGCCCGGATATTTTTTTAAAAAAATTTTTCAGGCCCGGCTCGGACCGGGTATATTAAAAAAATAAAAATATGGTCCGGCCCGGGTGCTGGGCATGCAGGTCTCTGATTTAAATTATTATGGTGTAATTTCTTATATAAAATACGATAAATATTTTATTTTTTTAAAAAATTCTCTTCTGAAAAATAAAGACATAGAACACTATATTACTCTGACGACGATATATTATTTTTTTTTTAAAAAAGAATAGACCCGCAATGGGCTCTAGTTAGGAATTATTATACACCAAAGTCTTCATTTGATTGTAAATCATTCAAGACTTACCAAAAAAGGTTTAGATAGTAGATATATTTAAAGTGGATTTAAAAAAATAGGATGCTTAAATAAAAATCACTTTGGCAAGTTTCTAAAATAAAATTAATTTGAATATGCGTTCCAGCACACCTTCCATACCCAGAACTGTAGTCAATGTACAGCAGAGAACTGCTGGCCCCTTGGCTCGGCCAGAAAAAATGGTATGATTAAAAATCCGGACCTGGCCTCCAGCGTCTAATATTCATTTAATGCTCATATTTTCCATTTCTCTAGAACAATTTGCAAAATATGATTAAAGCTATTAAGAATAACAAACTTTTAAGAATTCCTGAACATGAAAAATCTAATAATCCGGAAGCCGGTCCAAAAATTTTGACCTATGCAGGTCTCTTACGTATAAAATGATAGCCAGCTAGACATTAATAAAGCCTTTTTAATAGAATCATTCAGTGCAGAGAAGGATATAGCTTCAACATAATATAACAATTTAATGATAAGCATTTTAAAATTCTGCAGGGGAGTGGAGGATGTAAGACTTTACCCGTATCCGATGGTGTGCTGCGTTTCGACCGAAAACAGAAAGAGGGAAGTAAAGGAGTGCGCGTTTTTGACGCATGGTTTCCAATCGGGATCCCTGGCGTGGTCAAAATCGCCATGACTGAAACACAGGAGCCACCAAACGATGGCGTAAAGGGTCCAGCTGAGCAAAAAACCTAGGGTAAATATGATGACGGCCCAGCGCCACTTGCTATCCAGCAACGTAGTGAAAATGTCGGAGAGGAAGTGCTGCTTACGCTTTGGGATATGGGAGTGGATTATGTTGCACGAGCCAGATTTATTGACAAGTCGTTTGCGCACTTTTTTAAAATGCTTATGGCCGGTTGTATGGTGCCGTGGGAGTTTGTTAATTGCGGTGGTTTGGACTGCAGATTTGACTATATCTGAAGAAGGTAAAAAAGAGCCAGAATTAGGTATTTGGTTGGCTAAAAAAGCGTCTGGAAGTAAAGGGGGAGAAGAGAAAAAGCGGGGTCTTTTTTCGGGTTGATAACCATCTAAGTTCCGGTCGATTTCGTCAGATGGGCCATATGTGCGGGATACTTTCCAAAGGTGTTCCTTACGGTGAAAAAACCGATGATAGGGGCCGCTAACTCTTTCCATGCCGCTTGGATGCGAATTTTCGTGTTGTTTCTGGAGTTGCTGTAGCTGGTAAGTTACCATGTCGTTCTGGCTATAATACCAAGGAGGAGATATTTTTTTGATCCGACGGTATTCTCCCCGACTATCAGAGTCTTGTGACTGAGGAAATAAACTCAATTTTAAAGAGGATTTGAGAGACTTGACGGACCTTCTAGCGCCGTTGTTTATAATTTGGGGCCTTCCGGCAGCTACCGGCAGAGATTGAGAAGTGTTAGGAAAAACAAAGGATACCGGAGTTTGAGATGTTTTGGGAGAAGGGAAAAATGATCTGATAAATTTATGATCTTTAAATGGTACCTTATCACGTTTCTTTTCTCTCAACGTATTCGGGTGGTAGAGGGAAGGAGACGAACCCCGAAAAATAGGGGATGCTCTACGAAAGACCCAAAAATCGGGAGTTAGGCGAATTTTGAGATCAGCCCACAATCGGAATAAGGGATTATGAATTTTCTTATTATCTCCCAACACGTCATCGAAATTTGCTAAGCGGAGTTTTTCCCTAGTTAAAATGCTGGGCTGACTGTCATTCAACTCGTATTTACTAATTGGAGAATCGGGGGAAGAATCGGATACTAGGGAATTTGTCACTTTATCGCCGAGTCCATTATCTTCCCCGTCGTTTCCGAGCCCTTCTTGGTTCATTGTGTAGCTTTCGCTTTCATCTTCCTCACTTTCCTCTTCTTCTATCTCTGTCTCATCGTCTCCTGTTTCACTTTCCTTGTTCGACACGGGAGATTCGCTCACCATAAGATCATTTTTGTGCCTAGACCTGTGGACCTTGCCATTTCTCGTGATATTTTGAACTACGACAGGAGAATAATCCATTTCTGGGCTAAGGTCCATATTACTATAAGACGAAGGACTGTCCTCTTCTATCATACACCTGTCGGGAGATGAGATGACGGGTTTATTAATGTAAGCAGGAAGTGGTAGAGCATATCTGGAAGGGAAAGAATGTCTTACTGATCTAGGCTTCTGGTTTTGGTCTAGTCTAACATCCTTGTATTTTGGGGCTTCATTGATTTGATTGGTTTTCCATGCTGTAACATTTGAGTCCACAATACTTAGCTTATTTAAGCACTCGTTTTTAAAATCATTATTGTCGAGAAGCGGATATTTCTGATAGTGTGGTTGTTCACTGCTGGGACCAAAAAGGCTTAAAGAGCTGGGTTGTTTATTGAGAAATTTGTTAAAAGAGATAGGATATCTGGCAAATGTTCTAGTCTTGACCTCAGGTATTGTATTGGACTTAGTATCAGGATAACAAGATGCATCCGAATTTAAGGAATTAAGAGAATTATGATTGGAGCGCTCTGGAATAGGATCAGTAATATGTTTAATATTCTCATGTATAGCTTCTGAATTTAGCATAGGTTCTTTGTGAAAGTCTTCCCTTTCATCAGAATTCATAATTATTTAAGTGACAATGAGCTAATGTTGATTATCAGATAATTAGTTATTCATATTGTTGATTAAATATTTTAAGACATTAGTTGCGTCTAATCTTTGTATTTTAGTAAATAGTATATTTAAATTATTAGGTACAACTTTTAAACATTTTTTTTCAAATTTTAAAAAAGAAATTATAAAAGTATATTTATCAAGAAAACATATTAATTGTTTTATAATGAAAATGATTTGGATTATATTGACTTACTTAATTAGAAAAAGAAAGAAAGAGAAAGAAATTCGTATATAATTTTTAAAAATAAATTCATAACTTAGTCACAGGAATTCAACTGCAAAGAATATCTGTTTGGTTTTGGGTTCAGGTTTGGTTTTTTTATAAAATTATAATATTAGATAGGTTTGAACTTATAAAAATTGGTTTAAATCTGGTTACATACAAAGATATTAGAAAAGAGCTCTGCAATTTGGCCCAAAGTCCAACCCCAAAAATATTTTGGTAAGACCAGCTCAGGCCATTTTTTAAAAAAGAAACAGGTTAAGTGTGCTTAAAAAATATATAATAAAAATAATGTTTTCTTTTATTTTATTAAAATTTATGTATGTCAAGAACAAAGCAATTAGTGATTTTTACTTAATTTATCTTATAAAATGTGGTTAATTTATATATTTTGCCAGGCGCAGGCCTCAAAATTTTAAAATATTTCAGGCCAGATTAGTATTTAGAGGTAAATATAAATTTTGACCTGGGTCTGGAAAGGTTTGAGTCATAAAAAGAGAATTTATATGGCTTTATATTAAACTATGTATAAAGACTACATTTAAATTTTATCACATACTTAAAAGCAGCCAACATTTATTTTGTTATTATTTTTATTCCACATACAAATATACCCAATTTATAAATTATAATATTTAAAGATTATTTATTAATTCTAATGTGACTAATACTGATCAACTAATCAAAAATGGTTTTAAATATAATAATATATAAAATATGTAGGATATAAAAAGGCTCAAACAAGTCTTGGACCTTTTTAGAGGTTCTCAAGTTTGGGTGATAAAATTTTTCATGGTTCAGTTTAGATAAGAATAATAATGGTTAAGGTGGGTTGGATCCCCAAATTAGTGTAAGCAAAAAATTATTTTTAAATTGATTGGCATAATTATTTGGGCATTAGTCCCTTAAAATAATCACAATTTAAAGTATTGCCTATACTAGTACTTATTGTTACCATTATACTATAATACAAACAAACAAAAATACCAACAAGCAAAAATATTTTTGGTCAAATTTTTGCTAAATTAAACTTATATCATATCTTTACAATTTAGTATGCATGATAAGAATTCTATATAAACAAACGTAATTATTAAATTTACAAGGTAGATAAATAATTATTTAAGAATTTAAATAATCTTTGTTATGATATTTAGAAGAAAAGATATAACGTTAACCTTATAATATTGTAAAATAAGTTTTTTTAAGCACCACATTTGACTAGAATAAATGTAAACAGTTATTTAGCATCCAAAGTAAATATTTTCAATTCAACCAGATGATTTGCCCATGTATGAATGCTAATTACATTTTGTTTTTTATTACTCGAAAAATAGGCTAATTATTAGCAAGAGACCCAATATTAACAAGAATATTTATACTATTTATATTATTACTTAAATTCAAGACTCATTTTTTAAGATATAATGGAGGAGGGGATGGGGTACTGCGTGCCCTGTTGATTTTAAAAAAAATTTAGCGGACCCCATCAATTTTCATAGAAAAAAAGTGCTAGGCATGTCTCTTCCAAAAATTTTTCTTTTGTTTGTCAGCAATAATAATTGTTTATGTTAAGTCAGATAATTTTTCCATTTCATTATTATTTCAATATGTCAATATCAGATTCCATATTTTCATATTGCTCAAACCATAGACGTAGCCAAGGGGGGGGGGGCAAGGGGAAATTCCCCCCCCTTCAGATTGTATCACTTTTTGTAAATATCATTTTTAGCTAATAAAAAATATCCCCCTTAGTCCTCCCCCCACTCCCTGACCCTCAAATATGTATGCATATATCTTAAATAATAATTTAAAAGAAAGATTGTAAAAGTTGATATTTTTTTATAAAACTATTCATCATAATTTATAGATTTTTGCGAAAATAAATTTATAAATATGTAAAATGAACCAAAAATGTTTTTTAATAAATGGAATATAAGCCAAAGATAAGTTTTAAGACAGAAGTGAAATGTATTATAATTATTAATAATAGATCCATAAAATTACTAAATAAAGTGAGTAATTTTAATTTATCTTAATAAAAGTAAAATATAATTATAAAACTATTGATAAAATTAAATCATAAATTAAAAAAATATTAAAGCACAATACAAACAGTGGAATATTATATGTCGTAGATTTACAGTATATCTAATTATCAAATGACAATCAAGTAATTTTTAGCAATATAGCGAATTATATATTTTACAGAAAACTATAAAATATTGATAAGGACATCAGAAAATATCTTTTAAAGACATTGTGAAATGAATAATATGAAGATTTATTTTAATATCATTTTTACTTAAAATAAATAGATGGCGTTAAATAATTGAATGCAAATTGTTGCTACATTTAATATCAAGAGCATTGATTAGTAAAATTTGTTAAACTATTAACTGTAATATATTCTCTCTCTAACTGTCAAATATGTCTGTAAAAGTCGAATTTTACCTAGTAATTTATAACTAATTTCTATATAATATAATAAAATCAACTATATGTCTACTTACTTTTTATAAATAAATTTCTTATAATTGTTTGGAATGAATTATTACCATGCTTTTATATTAAGGTATATAATTTATTATATTTTTATTTTATATAAACTAATAAAAATATATTTCATATTTGTTCCAGGCTTATTTTTTTATTAAAATTTGTAATAATATTTTATGACTATATATAGACTAAAGTAACCTGGCCAAAGGCCGGGAAAAAGCAGGCCGAAGGCCCGCCCAAATAGGGGTCTGGAGGCGAAGCCCCCAGTAATTTTTTAATTCCCCCCCTTATGAAAATCCTGGCTACGCCTATGGCTTAAACAAATATCAAATTTATAAAATAGTTCATATTTACCATGATATTTTCCAATCTTTACCCATAATTTATATAAAACATCCATTAGATTCATATTACAGGTTTTTTACCTCATCGTCGCTATTTTAATATATGTAATTTTCAGTCACACAATTTAATATATGCGATTCAATCATGGATACTAAAGTTTTCTAAGAATTTTATTTAATTTAGAATAAATCAAAGTTACGAATTTAATTTAATTTAATTTCAAAATTTTTACATCTATTTTAAAACTAAAATATCATGCTTATATAACAATTTACATATTAATTAATATAATAATTTATATAAAAAAAAATCAACTTCACAATTTATAAAAAAATATTAATTTTTTTAAATACGAAAAAAAAACAATTTAAAGGTTAGTATTAATCGGTCATATCAACATTCCACCCTTTAAAAAATGATCTCCACTCAGGTTTTTCTTGCATGTGAATCTTATCGTGCAGTCTACGTTTCTTGATAGTTTTATTGTCATCATTAGTATATTTCATTAACTTTTGCTATTGAAAGTTTATTTAAAAGAATAATATTTTATTATATATATATATATTTTTAGTCTTTATTTCATTATAAAATTATCGATTTTTTTTTGGCAATATTATATTCCTGCTTGGTTTTTGACTAACAAGACTCTGTTCTTGTATTCCTAAATTTTGATCGTCATATCTTCTAAAACTTAAGTAAAAGGTATATCATTTTCAGTATTTGTTTTCAAATGTGTCTTTTCATCAAGAGGTGTGCTACTCGTAGACCTTTTTTTTTAATTTGGTCTAAATGTCTTCTAATAATTTTGTCTCCTGTATCCACTTCAAATATTAAATTCCCATTTTTACGTTTTACCGTACCTTTGTCCCATATATTATCCTTGAAGGTTTTATGCCAAACTTTGTCACCATTGATGATATTTCTATTTGACGATAAATTGCGATTAAATTCATTCACTTTATCTTCTTGCGGTTTGATTAAATCCCATCTGGTTCTTATGGTTCTGTTGAACATCACTTCGCTTGGTATCTTGTTGGTTATCGCGTTTGGTGTGTTAACGTAATTAAATAAAAACTTTTCTAAAGCTATATCTAAGTCTATTTTATTATTACTTTCCATATTCCTTTTCATGCATATTTTCATTGATCTTATAATTCGCTCACACTGACAATTGGACTGTTAGTGGTGAGGAGCGGTGAAAATATGATCAATTCCATGATCACTACAAAATTTTTTGAACAAGCTACTTGTAAAATTCGTAACATTATCACTGACTATCATATCGGGTATACCAAACAAACTGATTATTTTTAATAATTCTTTAATTGTAGACTCAGTAGTTATATCTCTCATTCTTCTAATGATAGGAAACTTGCTAAGTGCGTCAACACATACCAAGAAATTGCTACCTTCAAACTGTGCAAAGTCGATGTGCACGCGTTCGAACACATTTATTGTTTCCCATGGATTTTGTACATTATGAGGATTTTCCGCATATTTATTACACGTATCACAGTTTCTCACCTCCTGATCTATTTCAGCGTTTAGACCAGGCCACTACAAATAATCTCTTGCCAACAATTTCGTTTTCCCAGCACCAAGATGCCCTTTGTGTAATTCCTGTTTTCTCATATTTTTCGGTATAACGATCCTATTCTCTTTAAAAAGAGAATCTTTAATTAAGCTCAGTTCCATTTCCATATTTTTATATATTTTATTCTTTATCTGTTCATGATTCTTTATATTATTAATTACCTCCATTAATTCGATATCAAAATAGTTTCTTGAACTATTCTTTTAAAATTTATTGGTAAATCCCAAAATTTGTCATCAATTATTTCATCATCTATCTCTTGTACCATTTCTTCTGTGTTCATTTGGGGTAATCTTGACAAACAATACGGTACTACATTTCGTTTCCCGGGTCTATGTATTATCGTAAAGTCATAAGCTCCCATAGCCAAACTCCATTTTTGAAGTCGCATTGATATGGATGAATTATCCTTGAGTCCCTTCGTAAATATAACAACGAGTGGCTTGTGATCTGTGATTATTGTAAATCTCGTACCAATTAAATATTCTTGAAATTTTTTTACCACGTATATTACAGATAAAGCTTCCCTCTCTATATTAGTGTAATTAAACTCTGATTTTAATAGAGCTCTTGACGCGAAAGCATTGGGTTTCTCTTTGCCATCACCTTCAATATGAAATAAGACTGCGCCTAGACCTTTCTTTGAAGCATCCGTTGCAATGCCTATTGGTAGATCCGGATTATAAAAATTAAACGTAGGCGGAGTACTTATCAGTTTTTTTAGGTCGTCGAAGCTTTCTTGATGTGTACTATCCCATAACCATTTGTCTTTATTAACCATTTTGTATAAGGGATCAGCTATGTCCGCAAAATTACATAAAAATTTTCGATAATAGCTCGCCATCCCTAAAAAAGTTGTCAATTCATCTTTTGTCTTCGGTTCAGGTATGTTAGAAATAGCTTTTATCTTATCATCGTTGGGATGTATACCATGTTTGTCTATATCATGTCCCAAAAAGCGTATTTTATCTTGCAGCAATAAACTTTTGTCGAAATTGGGGGTTAATCCATACTTGATGATCTTTTCGAATACTTTTTTAATGTTCTCCAAATGTATCTCATCGTTATGTCGTCAATGTAGAATATAACATCTTTTAAATCTCCGAAAATGTTATCCATAGTTTGTTGGAATATTGCCGACGAAGTTTTTAAACCAAACGGCAGTCTCGTAAACCTATAATAGTCCTTATGTGTCGATATTGTAAGAAAATCTATTGATTCTTTCTGTATAGATATTGTTGTTAATCGGCTTAATCGAGTCGGCTCGAAAAGAGCTGACCCAAATTTTGGGTCATTTTTTCGACCTCGATCCGAGTTTAAGACGAAAAAAACGACCTCGACCCAAAATATGGGTCGTTTTTTTCGACTCAGACTTGAAACTTGGTTGTTTTTTTCGACTTTGACTTGAAGTTTATTTTTTTAAAGCCAATGTGTAAAAATATATTTTGCAAACAGATTTAAAATTTCAGTGAAGATGTACCATAGGAAAGTGATAATTGTCATAATCGTTATTTTTGAACTTTTTTGAATTTTTTTAAAGTAAATAGGTAAAAATATATATTGTAAATATGTTAAATTAAAATTTCAATGAAGATATACCATAGGAAAGTGACAATTGTCATAATCGTCATTTTTGAACTTTTTCCAATTTTTTTAAGGCAAATGGGTAAAAATATATTTTGTAAACATGTTAAATTTAAATTTCAGTGAAGATGTACCATAGGAAAGTGATAATTGTCTTAATCGTCATTTTTGAACATTTTTTAATTTTTTTAGACAAATACAAATGGGTAGCAAACATGTTAAAATAGAATTTG